CATAAAAAAATTTACTCGAATGCAAAATTCATGTGATGAACTTCAAATACAAACCATCAATTTTGGCGGGGATGGAACGCCATACTGAAGAGGGTAATTTATGTCAGAACATTACGATAATATTAGAAATACGGTTTTAAAGTCATGTTACAAGTTTCTGATAACAAGCGATAATGCTGAGCCTCAGAGTCAAGATGCTAGGGACTTTTTGGCAGAAACAAACTTAAAATATGGCCCCAATTACGATTACAACAGATTCTCACTCGTAAATTATGTAATTGTTTTAAGTGTGATTTGAAGTTGATCATTTACCGCTCGTTAGCTGTTGAAACGCGTTGTGTTATCTTAGTAATTATTACCATAATTTCTGGTATAGAGAACGCGGAGTTATGCCTAAGTGAATTTCATTTAACTACAAGCTTAGATTCGCTTTGTTTTCGTCTAGAAGTCGTATTAATTTCCATCGTAATTAACTCACCTTCCAGCTTTCGTGATGACCATTTCAGTACCCAACGTGTTGAACTTCGCCCAAAGATCTTTGTTTTCGAGCTTTACCTCGATACTCTCAGGGGTATTCGTCTCCATTACAGTTTCTATACAATAAAGAACTAATTCCTCTGTTAAATAAAGAACCACGGAGTGAGGATATTATAGTTGGAAGCTCTAGTCGTGAGATCGAAGTCACACCAAGTTACTCACTTCATTGATGAAGCTTCGAGTCCGTCTCAGATTTCTCTCAAAGGTGTTAGGAATTCTGACAATGTGTTGATGGGAGTTCGTCTTTGTTGGATCGTATTTCAAGTAAGTGCTTCTAACATTAAAATAATGTAACATGAGAGATTTGTAAAGCTGATCCAAAGGAGACCACAGAAGTAGAGAGCTCCAAGCGGAAACGAACGAGACAGAAATCCATCAACAAATTCAGTATTGAATTCATTTGCACGTGAACAAAGGAAAAAGGTGTCAGTGACTTTTGTTAAAACACTGCGGGGCTAGTGAATAAATCATTTACATCACATTAAATGAAAATCTTTTTACACAACAGCGACACTTCCAAATCAAGCCAAGGTCATCAGAATTCGAAAAGCTTCCAGCCTTAGTTCCAAGCAGAACGCTGAAGCACAAAGACTTATATTTCTCATTTATCCATGACAAAACCTCTCTGGAATTTCTCAGTTTACATTTTTTAACACCTTTCAAGCCTATACTTTCTTTTGTTTGACTCGCAGTCGGCGGCCGTCCTGCGTGAACTAAAGTGAAGCTGAAAGCTGCGTTGGTCGTGCTGCGTCGGCTCTATCTATTGATAGCCTTCATCAGAATGAAATTTATTACTAATGTTAACTAGTTAATCTTTTACAAAGTTTTTTATTATATGATTAAGTGACTCGATACCTCAGTCAATCAATCTATGACACGTGCTTTTTCAGTAGTATCATATAGCTTTCTCGACGCTAACTACACCGTATTATCAGTCTTCAATCTATCAAAATTCTACCTTCTTTCTC